AGATAAAAATGTTTTGCCAGACTCCAAGTGAACAAAAAGCCAGCACTTGAGCATGTCTGATAAGATCCAGAGACACGAAGACATGTACATGGGTTAAAAAGTTGCCTTATAAAATAAAATAAAATAAAATAAATAAAAATAGAAAGTGTTTACCTCACCTTTCAGAAAGAAAGAGCTGCCTAACCTTAACAGACTGCTGGAAATGATGAGGTTTATAATAAGTGTAATAAATCTTTGGACAGAGTGACAAATAGTATTCAGTAGCTTGAGTGCCACAGCCAGTGTATGTATATACAAAACAAAGTAGATCTTGAACTATTGGACTATCAAGCTGGTGGCAAGGGTTTTTGTTTTTGTTTTTTTCTATAATGCATTATATATATTAAAAATTAACTTACTTGATTTAGTTGTTTGAGCTTTAGTGTGCCACAAAAACACTGGTCTCAAATAAGAGTAGAGGCCTTGCAACAGATTTAGCTACTAGCTCATTTTCACTTGCAGTCCCTGGGCAGGTATGCACACAATATTAAATAAACTGGAAACTGGAAATAAACTACAAGATACAGATGAAGTAGCAGAATCAAATATATATGCAAAGCCAAAGAAAAGCCCTTCAGCCCTACCCACAAAACACATTGCAAACCCTTTCTGAGTATATGCTTTTGCCATTCAATAACCAGTCGTTTCAAATGTGTAACCATACAAATATGACTAATAAAGCATAAAAAAATATGCTGGATTAGGTCAAGTTGATGTTATTGTTTCCTGTTTTTTTCCTCCCAATGATGAGAAAAGAAATTCAAAGCAAGTGTCAGAATCAGAAAGAAAAGTGATTTTTATAGGTGACTTTGCATGTGGCATGTAATTCGAGAAAGACTGGCTGGTCTAGCTCAGAAACTGCTGATCTAGTATGGTTTTCTTCATAGCCATATCTTGGGTTTATGGAGCATGTTACGGAAATGTGCAAATATCCAGTGAGCTGCAGTTCTGTGAGTGAAAATGTCGTTCTGATGTCAGCAATCAGAGGAGGAGTGGCCAGACTGCTTCAAGCTGATAGGAAGGCAACAGTAATTCAAATAAACATTTGTTACAACAAAGGTATGCAGAAGGGCATCTCTGAACACACAACATGTTGAACATGTTGGGCTACTGCAGCAGATGACCACACCAGGTCCTGTCAGCTAAGATAAGGCTGAGGCTGCAATTTGCATGGTCTGAGACAATGCAAGATTAGAAAAAGGTTACCTGGTATGATAAGTCTTTATTTGTACATTAGGACGGTTGGGCCAGAATTTGGTGTAAACAATGTAAAAACATGGATCCATCCAAACTTCTACTAGATCATACTTGTGGTGAAGTGAAGTTGTGAGGGAAATTTTCTTAGTAGACTTGTTGATACCAAGGATGGTTTTAACCCCACAGCCTACCTGAGTAGTGTTGCTGACCATGCCCATCCTTTTATGACCACAGTGTACCCATCTTTCAACAGCTGCTTCCAACACTGTAATATGCCATGTCACAAAGCTCAGATCATCTCAAAATGGTTTCTTGACCGTGACAATGACTGTGGTTGAATGTCCTCCACAAGCATCAGACCTCAGTCCAATGAAGCACCTTTTGGATGTAGTGAAACCAAAGATTTGAATCATGGATGGACAAATCTACAGCAACTGTGTGATGATATTATGTCAGTGTGGAGCAAAAGGTCTGAGGAATGTTTCCATTGCTCACAAGCTTGTTGAATCTGTGCCTTGAAGAATTAAGGCAATTCTGAATATTAAAAAAGAGTTCAATTGAAGTGTACCTAACTAAGTATCCAGTGCATCTAAGTGGCAGCTGGCAATACAATAAAGTGTAGTAGAAAAGGGAAACTTACTGTCAAGGTGAACTGATTTTATAATTTCCATCTTTTCTCTTGAAAAATATAGGCGCAAGCTTTAAAACTTCAGGGAGAAAAATCCCTGTGAAGACTGCCAAGTCAAAGAAAATTATAACATTTTAAGTGGACTCATATAGTTTTTAACCATATTCCTAAAATAAAAATAAAAACATAAAAACAGCTGACTCTATAACAAGTGTAGTGTAAGTGTGGAAATAAAACAACAATGGCTGGGCCATGTCTCACTGCATTCTCTGCAAATGTGTAATACTTTAATAAATACACTCAACAAAAATATAAACGCAACACCTTTGTTACTGCTCCCATTCCCCATGGGATGGACGTAGAGACCTAAAATTCATTCCAGATACACAATATAACCATCCCTCCCAAACAGTGGTCACAAATTAGTCCAAATGTGTGGTAGTGGGCACATCTGCTATATTGAGATAATCCATCCTGGATGGATGTGGAGGTCCTGGGCTGGTGTGGTTACACGAGGTCTGCGGTTGTGAGGCCTGTTGGATGTGCTCCCATATTCTCTGAAACGCCTGTGGAGACGGCTTATGGTTGAGAAATGAACATTCAATGCACGGGCGACAGATCTGGTTGACATTCCTGCTGTCAGCATGCCAATTGCACGCTCCCTCATTGCTTGTGGCATCTGTGGCATTTTGCTGTGAGACAAAACTGCACATTCCAGGGTGGCCTTTTGTTGTGGGCAGTCTGAGGTACACCTGTGCACTACTCATGATGTCAGATCAGCATCCTGATGTGGCACACCTGTGAGGTGGGATGGATTATCTCAATATAGCAGATGTGCTCACTACCACACATTTGGACTGATTTGTGACCACTGTTTGGGAGGGATGGTTATATTGTGTATCTGGAATGAATTTTAGGTCTCTACGTCCATCCCATGGGGAATGGGAGCAGTAACAAAGGTGTTGCGTTTATATTTTTGTTGAGTGTACATATATTTAAAACGGTGATGGTACACTCCACAAAAAAATTTGGTCAACTGGCAACAAATCTGTAGCATAATCAGGGGGTTCAGACTGTCAAACAGTGTGTGCATAAATAGTTAAATAGTTTAACAAAAATAAATTATTTGCAATTAAATTCCACGAAGTGATCTACCTGACAGCTCCACGCCGGCATTTACACTTTCCAACCTGCCTTGGTCTTTTCAACACACGATGGCGCTACTCCCCAAAAAACAGAATAACACCGACTCCATCTGTGAATGACGGCATGTAATGACGACCTGACTGTAATGATACATGCTCGTACATAATGAGCAGCTGTAACTGAAACTCTGGAAGAGGCATGATTTCCAATTTCCGACAGGCTAAAGATAGACGCGGTCGTAATTACAACAAAGCTCACAGGATACTATTAACCTGCACAGAAGACCCTAAAAAAATACCAAACAGACCACATCCTCTGATTCAGACATTAAATTCTATGATGTCTTACAAACTGCTGAGTGTAATCTGAGGAGGAATACACAGCAAACTGCAGGGTTAACACAGGCAAAGCCAGAGAATCGTGTTTATTTTATTAATTCTTTGTTCAAAGTTAATGCGAAATGTGAAAGTGTACATATTCATTGTTTTTGAATTATGGGCTATCAATGAATCGACTTTTAACAGTTTCCTTGTTTTTTACTTAAAGAAAGTAATTGAATACTTTGGCTTCTTGCCCCAAAGAGCCCCACTGGTCCTCTAAAAATATGCTGTCTGTAATGTATCATATTATCATGAGTGTTTGATGTAATATCATAATCTGACAGGGGTGTCAAACTAAATCTACTGGAGTAAAAAGTATTTCAAAGAGGTTTTGGTGTACAATAACATGGAAATATATATGCATGTGCTTGGTTTTTCTACAATTGCAGGGACGACATTTCCTGTTTGAAAGTTTGATTCATAATTCTGTATCCTCTTACCTGAAGTTCATAATGAAAACATTAAGTATTCAGTTAATAATGAACAGAATACTTTAAAATGGGTTGTCCACCACACGTTTGATCTTTAATGATAATTTTGTGTGCTTTGTGTGACAGCTAGTTATAGCTGTGAAGTAATGCAGTGGAACAGAGTTGGTTAATAAAACAGGTGACTTTAACGTGTGGAAATTGAAGACGGCTCTGTAAATTCGCTGTTTCAGTGATGGACATGCGCACACTGATGGGATGGAAGAGAGGCACCTCTGCA